GAGCACTATGCAAATGCATAGAGGATGTAGGTTCAATTCCTACATAGGTTATCTTTATAAATAACTAAAAAAACTTCAAATGTTTTTTTTTTTAAAAAAAAAAAATCCAATAAAACAAATTAAATTAGCACTAAGTTATATGAGCAGAAAATAAGTAGACTAAATTTAGAACATAGGAAAAAAAAACTTTAGAACATAAGTAGACTAAGTTTAGAACATAGGAAAAAAAATTTAGAACATATGTAAAAGAATATTTAGAACGTAGGGAAAAAAAAACTTTAGAACATAGGTAATAAAAATTTAGAACATAGGAAAAAAAAAAACTTTAAAACTGAATTTAGAACATAGGTAAAAGAATATTTAGGAAAAAAAAAAAAAACTTTAGAACATAGGTAGAAAAAATTTAGAACATAGGAAAAAAAACTTTAGAACATAAGTAGACTAAATTTAGAACATAGGGAAAAAAAATTAGAACATAAGTAGACCAAATTTAGAACATAGGAGTGGGCAAAAAAAAAATTAGAACATAAAAGAAGAATTACAGAAATGCTATTACTAAATGATCATTTTAGATTATTGGATCAAAACTAATAAACGGCTGAGATTGGTTCTTATATAAGATTGGGTTCTTATATAGAGGAGGGTTCTTACATGAGCTTTCCTATATATATATATATATATATATATATATATATATATATATATATATACGGGGAGGTTCCGCTAAAAACAGAGCTTATGGTGAAAACTAAAAACAAGCAATCTTAGCCATTCATTACTAGCACAAAAGATCAGACGATTCTAAAGCCCTAAGATCATTCCAACCTTACATATAATCAATTCAACCGTTTTAAAGTTGTTTTTATTTTTTTTATTTTTTTTTATTTTTTTTTTACAAACGCAACATTTTAAAGGTCACTACATGCTAAAATAAGGTAACTTTATCTAAATTGACGATATTTACATAGAGTCACTATATATAAAAATAACGTAACTATATACAAAAATAGGGTAGCTATATCAATTTTTACAATATTTACATTAAGGTCACTATATACAAAAATAGGGTAACTATTTCAATATTGACCATATTTACATAGAGGTCACTATATACAAAAATAGGGTAACTATAACAATTTTTACGACATTTACATTAATGTCACTATATACAAAAATAAAGTAACTATATCGACTGAGTTTTTGACACCATTTACATAAAGGTCACTATATACAAAAATAAAGGTCACTATATATAAAAATAAGGTGACTGAAACAAAATTTACAACATTTCCATAATTCTAAGGTTATTATATCGAAAATAAGGTAACTATATATAAACTTCGGGTAATTATATCAATTTGACATCATTTACCCAGAGGTCAATAAATATAAAAATAAGTATTAAAAAAGTCTATGTAGGATTCGAACCTACATCCCGTGATTACACGGTGCTCGACCAATTGAGCTAATAGGCTTTCAACATGCCAAAACAGCCAATAAAAGCATACCAACATCACAGACCAACATCATACAGACTGAAGCAAAACAAGCTTGACAAGATCAACGTTTTAAGGACAGAAGCAGAGGCAAATAAAAGCATACCAGGATATCATGATACGAGCAAGCCACCTGTATATGAGGAATCCCAACAAAATGTAGATATTGAACAGGCAGGCACCAAAAATCATACAATCAGAGACAAATCTTCACAAAGGCTGAAGAAGGTTACTACACTAACTCCAACTGACAAGGTAAGATCAGGCATGATAGAGCTCGCAATAACGCAAACTAGCATACTCGAATTCTAGAAATAAATTTCTAAAGACACGCTTCTACTATTTAACTAACATGTCCTTTACCCTGCATATTTCAAGATGAGAATAAAGTATCAACAGTTATTGGAGATCAAAGGGAAAAATTGATACAACCTATAAATGGTCTTGAAAGCATTGTAAAATCTCAACAGCTCTAGTATATTAAAACCCCACATTAAAACCCCACAGAGGCCTACTCAATAACCTATAGATAGTATTACATGCCAGACCAAAAAGGAGCAAAAGGAATACATACATACAATCTCCCAAAGGACAAATAAAACAAATCAGATCAGTAATCAAATCATTACTCCCAGATCAGTAATCAGGATAAATGAGTTTTGCTAAAAATTTAGTTTTAAGCTCAATTAAACAAAGGAATTTCAGAAATCTGCAAGCTTCACCTGATCCTTCATCTGCATAAGAGCCAGGGGATACTTTGATGTCAACCTGTGTAAAAAAGACAATACTTGTATTATTCGTCTGAGAAAATCACGATGTCCCCATTACACAAGAGCCAGAATATCATGGTTCCCCTTACACAGCTCGAAATCACATTGAACGAAAAGTATGACTCAAAGGACAACCAAACGATCAGTTTTAGAAATAATTACTCCCAGATCACCAGCATGGTTTTATTTCAGATTACTCAAGGACTGAAGACGACTAGATGACAATGTAAGACATCATTCTTCTTGTTGGATATGTTAATGAGCTGTCGATTTCAATCTATGGCAGACTGGCACACTAGCTAGCAGATGTGATGCATACAAAAACATAAGACAAATGACAATTAGAGAGTGGAAGTATCTATATCTGAGTTACCAGTATCAACCCACCAGTTACTTAGGGTAGATTTTGTTCTTCACTCGAGTTGGTCTATACATTTTGTATTTATTGTATGGCATGACGAACAGAAATGGGCAGTCTCGAAAGGCTTCTCAGATTATATTTCAAGCATACCAAATAAATCAATCAGGTTTACAAGTTCATAAGGCAAAACAACTCACCTTATAATGAGGAGGAAAGTAATGCTTTAGCTTAACTCTTAGGCACAAGCCAATAACAATCGCCATACTGCAATGTTGGACGGTTGGGGTGAATGTTATCCTGTTGAACAAGACCACAATGCACAAGATCAAGGTTGAAATGTGATTAGGGGCGAGGCTAATGAGACCAAGAGCAAAAGAAATTAAACAGGTTAATTACTTTAGTACTAGTGCTAAAATAGTTACTTTAGAGTTTCTCCAACACAATCAATTATCTCATTTTGAAGTAGTGAAGTTGTGGCAACAAAGCCAGCTATAACGTGTTGAACTGAGGTCGACCATTCGACATTCACATTCTCATAACTTTAAAGAAGCTTAAAAGAGATTTCAAGGTAACAACAGACAAATGTGACGCTTCAAAGCAAACATGCAACTGGATCGTTGTATGTAAAAAACAACACATGGAAAACATGTGGTGTTCTCAACTACTCATAGTACATAAGTTCAGCAATAAGCATGTAACATGACTAACATCAGTATATTGCTTACTTAATATTTTACCTTATACTCCTAAAACACCATATGAAGCATTATATCGCTTTCTGCATAAAACTCCTTAAACCAATTTCATTTGTGAAGGCATCAGAATGCATCCCATGGTGAAGCTCCTTGTATCCTGCGACGTAGTCTTTATGCAGTTGTCTGCAATCATAAATGAAAACGGAAAAGGAATTGTTAGCAAAATCTTGATAAGGAATATTTAGAACAGGAAATTGAACAAAAATCACAAATGAAAACAAACAAAAACCAAGCAAAATCAAACAGGAAATCGAACAAAATTGAACAAAATCGAACAGGAATTCGCAAAATCAAACAAAATCGAACAAAATTGATAAAAAAAAAAAGTCGAAAAAATTGATGACCAAAGTCGCAAACTCGCAGTGGAAATCGAACAAAATTGATGAACAAAACACACAAAATCGCACAGAAATCGAACAAAATCGCAGAAATTTTTTTTGATAAAATTACCAAATGATATCGAAAATTAAAAATCTGAAATCTAATCAAATTATGGAAAAAAGAATATACAAATTTGATGAGAAAAAGTCGAAAAATCGCACTAGAAATCAAACAAAATTGATGAACAAAACACGCAAATCGCACAAGAAATCGAACAAAATCGCAGGAAAAAAAATTGATAAAATTGCCAAATAAAATCGAAAATTAAAAATCGGAAAATCGCATAAATCAAATCACAAAAATCGCAAAAATTAAAATCGGAAAAATCAAATTGAAAAATCACAAAATCTAGTTGAACATCATGCGTTTTTCATGAAAATTTGAACAAAATCGGAAAAAAAAAAAAAACGTACCTGATTTGAGCAATTTAGGTTGTTTATGCGAAATTTGAACAAAAATTCTTTAATTTCCAGCAATTTGTGTTTAATTTTGGGATTTGAGGAGAGAGAAAGATAAGAGGTTTGCAAGTTTGAGGATAGAGAAAATTTTGGACGGTGGGTTAGGGGTTTGAGCGAGGATATGTGTTTTAATCTCAGCCGTGAGATTTGATGGGTCATAATCTACGGTCTTGATTGTCCGTTTTCATGTTTTCAGCTATAGGCTTGTTTTCACATGATCCACACTATATATATATATATATATATATATATATATATATATATATATATATATATATATATATATATATATATATATATATATATATATATATATATATATATATATATATACCTCCATCATATAAAATTAAGAATAAACATTTTATTCTCTCTCAATCTCATATTTTCTCTCTATTTCACAACATTAAGAATATTATAATAAGTTATGGACATTTTAAGAGTTTTATACTTCATATATTTCACTTTCTGCCTTTATGTTTCGGATATCGATTCGAATATCCGATATCCGAATATCGATTCGAATCGATATCCGAAAACTTTCGATTTTCGGATATCCGAAATTTTGAAAATCAATATACAAATACGATATCCGCATTTTCGGAGTTTTTTCGGATTGAATATCCAATCTGAAATAAAAACTCGAATTAAATATCCAAAAATCCAAATTGATTACGGTCGGATTTTCAAATTATTTTGTACACGCCTAGTCGTGGCCAAAAAATTCTCAAAATCATTAAATAATCAAATATGACATTAACTACAAGTCTACAATTGCACAACTACCTCTCGAAAGGAAAAGTTTTCTTGGGATTGGATTATGCACATGTCAAAAAAAAACAAAAAAATCAAAAAATTAAAAAAAAAGAGAGGAAAAGAACGAAGAGATGTGATTTGTTTTCTACGTAGTATATATATTTGGTCCTTGGTTGTACTATCTTCTAAGTTCTAACAAGGCCTTTCTTTGTATCTCTTGGGCTAAGTCAATAAAATACCAAGTAAGAAAACAAGCAAAAATGACGAGCAAAGGCGAAAAATTCCCACCACAAACACAGGATTCTCAACCAGGAAAGCAATATTTGATGAATCCTCTCCCAAAATCTGTCAATCCTCAGTATAAACCATCCAAAAAGCTTCATGTAAGACGTACAATTTATTTATATAATATTTCAGTTTCATTTATCATCCTAATTATATTTCTTTTATCATCATGGTGTTAATTAAATATTGAAATATGGAGCTTGTAACATAAAATCAAATTTTGTCCACATCACTGCTAATTATATGACCTATAATATAAAAAATAGTGGTATTTCGATGATTTTAATTTTTTCATACTTTAATCACCTATCAAAATTTATCTTGGACCAATATGTAAAAACAGGGAAAGGTAGCATTAGTAACAGGAGGTGATTCAGGGATAGGAAGAGCAGTTTGTTACTATTTTGCACTTGAGGGCGCAACTGTAGCTTTTACATATGTTAAAGGGCCAGAGGATAGAGATGCTGACGATGCCTTGTCTTTGATAAAAGAAGCGGCCAAAGAAAACGATGCAGGTGAACCTATTGCAATTCCAGCTGATCTCCGTCGAGGTGAAGATGAATGCAAGAAGGTGGTTGATAAGGTGGTTAGCCACTTTGAACGCATTGACGTCTTAGTGAATAACGCTGGAGTATGCTACTATGCTGAGAGCATCGAAGAAATAACAGAGGAACAACTAAGGATGTCATTTGAAATCAACTTCTTCGCCAGTTTCTTTTTAGCAAAGTAAGTATTATTCCATTAACTAATTACAAGCCTAATCTTGGTAAAGCGATAGTTATTATTGAAACAACAATTCGCTGATCGAGTATATGGACAATTGTATTATGAGTTTATGACCACTTAAGTAATTTTATCTATCTACTCCCTCCGTGTTTAAATAAATTATTTGTTTTGAATTTTTGCACTATTCATCTGATTCAGTGTGACTATTGCTTGTGATTTATATACAGTAATAAATATAGTCTTGTACGTGGGTACTTATTGGTTACGTCTCAATAAATAGTTTATTAATATTGTTATAATTTTTACTTTTGATAATTACAGATATTATCAGTCAAAGGTGCATAAGGGAAACGTTTTATTTATTTAAACACGGAAGGAGTATATTTTAAGAAAAGAAACGTCTTTTAACTTGTCAATAGCATAGAGACTCAGGGAATTGAGGATAGCTTTTGTTAGGACCATTAAGGTCCACTACCAACTAGTTCTTGGTACCACATGTGGTGTCCATCTTTGTATAAAAACTAAAATTCAATCCAATTAAATTACTAATTCGACTGGATTGAACTTTTTTTAATTGGATTGGAGAATCAAATTAAATTTTCTTTTTTTTTTTGAAAAATTAGATTTTTAGATTGGATTAAATTGATAGGAGTTGGATCTAAATAAACCAAATCGTCCACCCTTTCAATTTCATTTTTTCTGAAATGATATAGTATTTGGATTGATGGTCTTAATTTAATATTTTATCCTCAAAGCCGTGGGTCAATATTTTGCCAATTTGAATAAGATTGACTTGGAATCAATAAAAACCAAATATTATTTGGATTGTTTTGGATCAATGAGACCCTAATTCAAACCTAAGTCCAAATAAACACCCCTATACCACCCTTGTTAGGAAAGTGGAGGAGAACTAACATAAACCGAGGGTGTATTTGGTTTGATGTAGAGCATATAAATATCGTGTCGTGTTCGTGTTCGTGTTTAGTCTTGTGTTAATTTTGTATTGTTCACAAAATCTACATTAACTATATAAAATGTAGGATAATCGCATTTTTTAACACTTTATCTAAGTGGGTCGTGTTCGGGTTGGTTTCGTGTCGTGTCTTGTTGACTGTGTTTTTTCTCAGTAACTTTGTGTACGTACCGTGCCGGTTTAGGTCGTATTGTTGTGTCGTGTAAGAGATTGCCAGCTCTAGTTTTATGTAAAACATTTTCGAAAAAAATAAAAAAATAAAAAATTATTTTCTCCGTTTGCTTTGTTTGATTTGTCAAATGGTGGAATACAATTTTTCAATGGTGGAAATTTGTACTCTTTATGGTGGAAAACATTTTTCTTTTCAAAAAACAGAATGCCACATTTTTCCCCTTCTCCTTCCTCCTATTCACTTTCCTCTCACCCATCCACACCATTTCACTCCCAATTTAATTACTCTATAAATTTTCTTGCAAGAAAACCAACAAAAGAAAACTATTTTGAAAAATCATTTCCTATGATAATTTTAAAAAATAATAATAAAGATAATAAACCACCATCACCATAGTAGTGTTTTCAGATCATCTCTACGCTACGTGATGATGCTAATGCAATATGATCCCTGGTGAAGGCACTCCGTAAAGCATATGAAAGAAGGAAGCAGCATCATCAACACATCCTCTGTCACAGCATACGCCGGTGGCAAAACACAAGTTGACTACAGCAGCAGCAAAGGAGCCCTTGTTAGCTTCACCAGAAGCCTCGGTCTCCAACTCATCAAACGAGGAATTCGAGTAAATGGGGTAGCACCAGGCCCCATTTGGACTCCCATTCAAGTTGCTTCTTCAGCGCCTGTTGAACAGGTTGTGAATTTAGGTTCATATGCGCCAATGGATAGAGCCGGCGAGCCTTTTGAAGTCGCTCCATCTTATGTATTTCTTGCTAGCAACGAGTGTTCATCCTATTTCACAGGCCAAGTCCTCCATCCGAATGGTATGCATGTTGTGCTTGTTAATAGCATCATTGTCTGTGCTTTAGATATCATTGTCGTCCCACATCTATTAATATAAAACTCGTACAGCCGCCTAACTAATTGATGTTTCAGGGGGAGAGGTCATTAATGGATGATCCAGGTACGTGAACACGAGAGTGTACACCTATGTTCAAACATAAAATAATATATGCATGCTAAATTACTAATAAACAAGATACCTATAGTTAAGATATGGTTCATTGTGAATGTAGCTAATCCTTCCTGATTCAAGATGCTTATGTACCAGCTATTCGACACAGAAGGCGGCTGCTTCGTCTATATGTTTTGTGTTTACTTGGCCTTGTATTTGTAATTGTTATCCTTATAAAACATCCTTTTAATGTATGCAGTACATCTATGTATTATGAATACTCCATGAACTACCTTAATACATAATTAAATAAAAATGGGGAACTTTTATAAGTTACCCTTTATATTTGTTTATTTTGTTGGGCAAACAAAGAAAAAAATCATTATTGGCAGTAGCTGAGTAGTGAATTGTAGATGTGCTAGTGTCTTTTTTTATTCTTTTTCTTTTTCTTTTTTTTTTTTTTTTTTGAATAGGAGGAGATGTGCTAGTGTCTTAATTAGACTATTTAACAAAACCCTTGATAATAAATATACTTATTTTGCCATTGTCCTTGTTGAATTTGAACACTAAACCACTGATAGAAGGAGAAAAAAATGTAACAACTTCTAGTTTAAGACCTAACCATAGATTTGCCCAAGGTTAGAGATAGCTAAATCACTTTCGGATAAGAGAAATTCATAAAACCAATTCACCTAAAATTACTTACCACGTTAGCTAGTATTCGCGTTAGTAGTAATTCATAGAAGTAAATTTTTTATGACCTAGTAATTCACATATTCCTGATGGCATTCTACTGGCCATCCACGTGTACAACCAAGTTGCAGATCAAGCATGGGATCAATGAGTTAAAGAGATTACGCCAAGAGGAATACTTGAAACATGGTTTCAGACTGTGTAACCATATATTAAGTCCAAGGGTGTATAATTTTCGAATGAGTAGACAATCATCACTTATTGTTACAACAGCAATTATCATAATATGAAACCCAGTTACAAGTCAAAATAAAAATTCCATCAATTTTAGACATATATACTTATCAGCTAGAGCACAACTGACGAAAAAAGGCAATTCTGTGGAAACAAAAAAAATTACCACCTGCAGGACGCAGGAACCAACAAGAGTAGATTGGCCTCCTTGAATCTTGATAGACGTCTCTTGCAACGGTATACAATATCTCTGAAAGCGGAGTATTTGCTAACTGCACCTCAATGCATCAGATAGAACCATGCTACAACAGCATCAATTACGTCTCTGCAGGCCACAAAAATCACTTGAGTTCATAACTTAAAAACTAGAAGATTACCATGATAGCCATCTTTGCACTACATGTATAAGGTTCTTTTAATCTTGAAACAAAGTCAAATACAAACATGAGGTCCACATAACAAATAGAGCATACAGAAAACAAAATGGTCACCCTAATGAATGTCTTCATAGAACAAAATGGTTTCTGTGGGTAACAAGACCAGATTTACAATGACAAACAAAAAGTGGGAGTTACACACAAACATGTCGACTCGATCTATATCTTACAACAGTGTATGATTAATAGAATACTCCGTAATAGATAAACTTTGCTACACAAAGAAGCTTCAACTATTCAGAAATCTGTGACAACAGAAAAAGAGGATAAAATTAACCATACCAGCATAGATTATCAAATCAACAAAAAACCAGCAACGTATCTATAGAATGAGATGAAGAGAGTAAGACACTATTTTCTCCCCACAAATATTGAAATTGCTACTAGTAAACAAAAAAGCATACAATAAGACATTTATAATTATACTACAAAGACCTAACTATGTGTGGCTTTTACTTCTTACAAAGGGACATAGAAGGATTTTTTTATTATCAGAAGAATCAAGTTTCAGGGGAGCAATTATGCATGTCAGATTTATAAATAAATGGCATGTCAGTGATGTAATTAATGTGCAGAGCTGCAGACTAAACAAAAACCTTCCTATAATTCAACCTAAGATTAAAAAAATAGGCCCTCACTGCTGCATACTCATATATTGTTAAAAATAGTTATAAATACATATACGTATGAAAACCCAAGTTATGCCCATTATTCATAACCAGTCATACATAGGGGCATTGTCAACCACTGGTATCCTTCATAGGTGCATGAGCTTAACTTAGATACTATAACCATCACCAGGCAATCCTAATAGACTCGATTAGCAACATAGATTAAAAACACACAACTCTTCTAGCCATTTTAAGTTAGAAAGCTATCTTTGCTTCATTGTCGTTCATTTACCAATAAAAATGCTTGCCATGAATAGCATACATATTTACAGACCTGCCACATGTTTTTGGAGCCTAAATATAATGCTTACTAAGCCCACACGACAAGTGCATGCAAGTAAAATTTAACATCAATTGATCCAGGCAATCAATTAAGCAACCTCAATAAAATCATAAATACTATTAGGCTATCAACTCTACTGGAATTAGAAGGCCTATTAATACATAATCATCTTCTCGAGATTTAAATCTGAAATGGATGTCTAGTTGATCCAATTCTCACAGTCTCATCCCTCATTCATCATGTAGATGATTGAACATACAAGACAATTGCATTATCAGAACAGAGCAACATGCAAGATAATATAGAGTTGCTTGTTACAGTCTAGGAAAGCAGGTTTCAATAAATGTACATTTAGGGACGAAAAACTTATTTCTGTCAACGTACATTAGTTAAGCACTTCTTTCAATTTAGCGTGTATTTCAATCACATTAACAGAATTCAGAGCAGAACAACATGCATGTTTCCTGCTGATCGTTTCAACGATTATAATTTGATTTATTACACTCTGGGGAAGGAAATTATTTGCCTCCTACTTAGTGTGCATATCAGAAAACTTTTCTTCTTGCTTGGTGAGTATATACAATTTAAGTTTACTTCAATTGAACAGGCATTATGTTTTCTTTTGGAAGATCATGCCCTGAAACGAACTATAGCTTTTGGAGGAGGATTGAGAATGATAAATGGTTTTTTTATAATCAGAATACACAACTGGCAGCTGCAAAATAAAAACAAGAACTTTACTAATATACATTTTGGAATGAAAATAACAAACCTCTGTGCAGGAAACATCTTTATGGCTTGAAATAGGGCTTGTGGCCTGGGATTTTTCATGCAAACATAAATCTCCTTCTGTATCCACACGATTCTCCCGAGAGCTTGCTATAATATGATCTAACACCCCTTTTCCCTTAGAAAAAAAGTTCGAGGTCTCCCCACCATGATTAAGAGCTTCACCAGACTGTGTGTTCCGTTTGGATTTGAGGTCTAGACGGTCAATCAGTCGTGCAACACCAGCTATGCTGGAGGTCATCTCTCTTTGAACTCCTTTACTAAGTTCTTTAACTGAGCTATTACGAGCAAGAAGCTTTTCCCTAAAACCTTGGGTACCTTTTGAAATTGAATCTTTGTACCTGAAAGCAAAAATTGAGCTCAAATGGCAGTTGGCAATATTTTCAGCGCATGTCTAAACTAAATTACATTGTAATGCCTATTCAAATTCAAATAAATAAATAAATAATAAATAAAATGTAATGCTAGATCCCAAATGTTTACCTGGCTGAGGCTGCAGAAAATTTGGATTTAATTGACTCTGAAAAGGCAAGTAGCTCAGATGACTTTAGTCTTTGAGCACACTCGGGTGATTGGCTTTGAGGGGGTCTGAGAATTGGAAATTGAACTCAACCAATGAGAAAGTAATCACTTGAATAAATAAGAATGCTGGTCTTATCCCATATAAGGGGAAAAAGTTAATAATTGATTTTTCTCGATAATTTTATCCAGGTCATGCATGTAAAATCATCAGGTAACAGACACCATTTCAAATATGAAAACCAGTTGCAGGCAGTACCTAGAAGGCTGGTGAGGAACTCTCCTTGGAGCAGAGCCTGAAACATTAACAGCTGATGGGCTAGCTGATATAGGGCGCTGGGAGCTACTAGCAATGGGTGAACTGCTGCCGGGTGAACCATAAGCAGAACTACACTCATCAGGACTATTTGGATGCACAGTTGATTCACTTAGACGAGATGCAAACATAAAATCTGGAGAAGGACTTCGTTCAGAAGATCTCTGCCTCCCATTTCTATGGGCTTGCCGAGCACGGCTCATCATAGCAGCCAAATGCTGCATCATACGCTCATTGAAATCAGAGTCATCAGTCCAATGAGACCCCTGTAAGGATGCATTCTTTCAGATAAGTTATTTCAGGATAACAAATGCCAGGTGTCTGAAAAGCTTACAAGCTGGAGCTTATTACTCACATATGCAGAATCGGACTCTTGATACTGATGAGAATAATCGGTTCTATTATTCGACAACCGCCTTGTCCTAGCATTCCTTTCAATCCCAGCAGCAGCTAGAAGCTCTTGGCTATTAACACAAACAAGTTAAAGTCACAAACATGAATAGACCAGGAACGTCTAAGCCTCAAACAAAAATCAATCATCTACCTTGCAGAGTCCTTCAAGGCAAGATCCTGCCAGCAAATCGGGCATTCTTTACTCCTCTGAGACCTAGAAACATAAAAACCACATGATGGTTACAGTGTTAAGCAATATTAACCTAAAACAATACAACACTCAAATTCCAAATATGGAAAGGTGAAATACCATTCAAGTATGCAATGCAGGTGATACTCATGTTTGCAAGTTGTCACCTATATAAGAAAAACCAGCAAAATGTATTGTTCTCAGAATTAGTGGTCTCAACCAACTCAACAATGATCATACAAGAAAAATAAGATCAACAACTACAATCAGACAATGACGTCGGATCGAATTTTTCGATCAATCAGTATAAATACTTTAAAAATTAGACCAAAAGATTTGTTTTCAACAAAGATACAATATCATCTGCTCCGTATCATAATTTCTCAACAAAATTAACAATTCAAATAGAAAAACTCAAAGACAACAAAAATGAGAACACTGTGTAAAAACTTATAAATTCTGAATTGAACATGCAACCTAATTCAATAACGTGTTCAAAATCAGATGAACTATAGTCAACATTTTAGTAATCAAAGTCAAAATTCAGTCTTCATTTCTCGATCATCAAAATTTCAACTCCAACACAAAACAAATAAGCCAAAAAACAAATATCAATGACTAAAATCAAACATAAAAACAAACCTAAACTTCAATTTAAGAACCAAAAAAAATGAAGAAAAATGGGAGTATAGAGAGATCGAAGCATACAGAAGCAGGATCATGAAGAGAGAAAGGCTCAAGGCAGATACTACAAGCGTCTTCGAAATCGTCGTCAACGGCAGCAGAAGAAGACGATCCAGATGATGATGATGAAGATGTCGCCATTGACATAGACATGGTGAGTGATTCTTTGGCCGTCGAAAATTCCGCCATTGATGCAGCAGCTTCAGCTTGAGGAGAGAGATAGAGGAGAGAGAGAGAGAGATGAAGAGGAGAATGAGAGGAATGAGAAGAGAAGAAGAACCCTATGAAGGGGATAGGAGGGTTGTAGAAGAGAGAGAGAGAGAGAGAGAGAGAGAGCGGGAAGAGTGAAGGAGTCAAAAGAGGAAGGAAAGAATAATAATGAAGGAAGCGGAAAAGGGAGGAAAGAGGAGAAATCTGATCCTATTCAGACGTGACGGTTGGAGATTCACCGATTCCTTTCCCTGCTCTTTTGCCTTTTCTTACTTCTCCTTTTGAAATTTTAATTTGGTTTCTTGTTCAATGCCTACAAGTGTGCTTCTAGACGTAGCCATGGGTTGGACCGGTATGGGGGGAGGCCCGATTGGACACAGTACTAAAATGGCTCGACTTAGTATAAGCTTGCCATGAGTCCAGCACGACAGTAGAGGTGAGTCAATGGGACATGGGCTGTGTCTTGACATGGTTTTCAAAATTTGACATGAAACAACACGACACGTATACAAGTTTGTTTAAAGGTTCCACACCTCCACTTATGAAAGATTGACACGAGATTGGCTCGACATAAAATATTGTTGACACGCTTGGGTACGAGGCTTTGTTGGCACAAACACATACGCTTGCACGGCTTGGTTGTACCTAGCTTTGTGTGATCCTATAACTAAAGGTTCACTATATTGTCTACATGTCGGGTTATATTATAAACATGTTACTCTTGTACAATAAGAATTAGCCTTCGTTGTCAATTTTTGAAGGGGCTTTTATAGGAAGGTCCCAGTTTTTTTGCTTTATGTTTTGTTTTTGGCTTACAATAATGGTTCATCCGCTTGAGAGCAACTTATTTCCCTTGAAATAAAAGGTTTTTTCTCCTTCAAAATACAAGGTTTTCACGATCTCGATCTTTTAAAAGACAAGTTTTTTTTATCTCCTTCGAAAGACAAGGATTTTCGGCCTCGTTTGAAAAACAATGTGTTCTTTGCGCTTGAAATAGTCTCAAGTTGTGCAGAGCTAAGATTAATGTTGATTGCTTGGATTCAGGTTACGAAATTATCACAAGAATTTTCTTCCTTTCAAATTTACGAAACCACGATGGATCCACTCATAAAATTATATAAAAATAACAAATCGAGAATGTGTCGAATTGTTATATCTATGTATTTAGATTCTTAGTCCTTCCCTAGTTAATTCTTGTTTGATTTTGTTAAGTTATCTTCTTTGTCGTTAATTGTCAATTGTAGGTTGTCAAAAAAAAAAAAATTATGTCAATTGTAGATGTTGCACGACTTTATCAATGAAAATGAGTGTCCTTTGAGATTTCTTAAAAAAAAAAATTGGTTTACTTTTGCTAGATGTGTAGATTATCTAATGTAGATATGGTTCTTTAATTTGAGTAAGTAAAAATTATAACATTGACCCATATATTTATGTAAAAATTATAATATAAATTTAGGGTTTTTCTATACAATAACCATATGCCTCCTCCTTTTGAAAGCTACACGATGTAACCTTCTTGTCGACATTTGTATTTTATATGCTATTTTATCCCTCGTTCCACGGTCATTTTTATGCATATTTGAGCTCTTCGGAGCTATTTTTGGTTCTAAAGTGTGGTTTCAAGTATTTTGTAGAGTTGACATTTATTTTGTAGGAATTTTCCGATTTTTGGTGATTTCTATGGTTTTCCGGCCACTACGAGATATCGGAGATTGTGATCACACTCATGACCGTCTTGCGTAGCCTAAGACCGAGAATTTCGGTGACTAAGGGCTTGGTTTGTGAAATTGGTCCAAGCAATGGACCAAGGAAGAAGAAGAAATAATTGGGCTAAGAGTAATTGGAGCCCAAAGGAAAGAAGAGAAGAAGATCAACCTTGAAAAGACCGGGCTCGATCGGGGGGATGCTCAACGTTTAGGAGTCGTCTTTTGTTAATTTTTGGGCTTAGTATTTAAACTCTTTTTGTAAGCTTTCATGGGACACGTTTTTAGATTGCAATTTCATTATTAAGTTCTTAGAGAGATTTTTAGTTGGAGATTATTGTTGAACTCAGAATTTCCCTTTTAGTGCAATATCATATTTCCTTCATCGTATTATTCTCGTCTCTTTTATTGATTTGATTATTATTGCTTTGATTTCAATCATGTTTTCTTTATATGCTTTATTTAGTTTAGATTTAAATATGTGTGCTTAGTTTAATTGTAGGGTTCTTGGGGGATCCATAATATATATGAAGGGATAATTTGTTATTGTTGATTATTGATGTTGCATGATAATTTCTTATTGAATTGTTTTAATTCTTTACAATTGGGTTATGAATCGAGCAGATGTGATTTGATTGTAAAAGTATAACGATATTGAATTGATAATGAATCGAGCAGATGTTAATTTGGTATTAAAGGCTATTTTCAATAGGAACTTAGATCTAGTAAATTGCGAGAGCCTGTTAGATCTATGTTGATAAATAAATTGCGAGAGCTTGTTAATCATGTTATGTTTGCATTGTTAATCGTTGATTGTTATGTTTTATCCCAAAGTATTAGCGACCCTAGACCTTATTATTGATTGTTTCCTCAAATTTAATTATTGTCTTAGTATAATTCTCACAAAATAAAACATTCGTCCCCTAATAATTTAGATTATAATTATTAATTAGGAATAGAAAACATTGTTTCCTTGTGGATTCGACCCTACTTAGAGGAATTTAAGAATTACTTTTAATTAGGAGATACGACTTCACCCTGTCACTAGTACCATTAGAGAATCAATAGTTACCTTGACATTAACCTGTCGTTAACGGGTTTCGCCTTGTTGATTCAATTACCGTTAGTAGTTAGTGGTGCCCACTCTCCACCTATTAATATTTTTTCTTAAGTTAAGTATAAAACAAGGGACTCAATTCTTGCAAAATGTGGAGAAATGGGACTCTATTTATTTTACAGAGGGAAAAGGGACTAGGCTAGAATGGGTTTGGGTTTTCGGTGCTTTTTAATTAAATAAGGGAAAGAATTGATTCCCCTTGGTTAACCAAAAAAAAAAAAAAAAAGAACAGTTTATTTTGAATGTATATTTTCTTCATCATCTTCATTACATCCTCAACCTTCCAACTCCACATTTCTCTTTAAAATCATGACCATCTCATAAGCTAACTCTGACTCATGTGAACTGTCAATCCACCTACCACCTAATATAATCACACCCATCCACTTGTTTTATAGTTTGGGCATATTAGAAATCTCATAAAAGGATGCTTGACTGTCTTAGAAACTCCCCTTAATGACCTTCTGTTGCAATATACGACATATCGATAATCAAATTTTTCTTATCTTTTTTTTTTTTTTTTTTTTTTTTTTTGTTTTGATTAAATTTTAGGGCTCTACAAGCCTTCACTAAAATTGCGATGTGTGCTTCTGCTACAAATGCAAGACAAATAAGCTACAAACCAGAGAGATGAAGAACATGCTTTGGTTTATTATTATTATTGAAAGAATTATTTTTTTAGATAACAAACATTAAAAAAAATTTCAAGAACAAAGCTTTTGTATTGCTATTGTGCTTTCTTAATTTCAAACGGTTATATTTTTGAAACAATCAGCAGGAATGATTAATGAAGGGATTGAATATGTTTGGTTTAATCAAGGCAATAATGAGGGGACTCAATTCTTTACAAGGAACTTAATTCTTCTTGGGTTAAAGGTGAGTTAAGTCACCAAAAATACCCCTACCCCGGAAATTTAACCCCAATCCCCTTTTCCTTTGTAAAATAAATAGAGTCCCCTTTTCCCACATTTTGCAAGATTGAGTCCCCTATTTTATACTTAACTCGTTTTTTCTTCAGTTTGCATGCTGAAAAAATTCTGTTTAATATTTTTGTGGTCATTTTGTCCTTTTGGACCAAATTAAGCACGGATTAGGCGAAAAAATCCGTAAATGTCTCATTTTGCATATCAAAAAATGTCTCAATTAGTGTGTCATTATTTTTTTAGCAGCAGAAATTGAAGGTTTTGGGGTCATTTTATGCCTTAAGGAACCAAATTGAAATTGATATCGGCAAAAAAATAATATAATTGCTTTGTTTTAAGTATCAATTGTTTTGCTTCTTTATCAACCTTATACTCCCTCTGTCCTATTTTTTTTGCCCCATTTGACTGTGCACAGTCTTTAAGATGTGTCTTAAAACGTCTATTATCTTTATTTCTATACAGGTAAAAATTATTAAAAACATGATATTAATAAACTATACAATGAGACAAATTTAACAAGACCGCTCATGACTTTATTATCTTTTATAAATTAACGGTAATTTATAGTCAAAGTTTTCAATATTTGACCCAAAAAATGACAATGAGGCAAAAATAAAGAGACGAAGGGAGTAATCTATAACAGAACTCCAAACTTCACTTGACCCATCATAAGAAGGTTACTTAATGAATTCACTTATACTTCTAGGAGAATGGTGAAAAATGACTTGCCATTTATCCTTTGTCAACGTCAACGTTGAAGATTGAATTGTCAAAATGAATCGAAAAAAATAGAGAAAAAGAAATAGTGGCCTTGGTATCAAATTGTTGGCATGCACGACTAGTGCAACAACCCCACTATCTCTATTACTACTATTGGTAATTAGTAATACTTGCACTCATGTCATCATAGAATTCATTGAATTGTCCTAATTTTTAATTTGTATGCTACTTATATGTTTTACTTTATCATGTTGGACACCCACTCCAATTAAGTGCAAGTGATTAACAAGGCCAAAGAGGTTAGTTGCCTTCAAAGTTAATTAATTAAACAAATTGGAATGTAAGGAAAAAGTTAAACACGTTGAATGGGTGTGTTTTCTGAAAACTATATAAGTGAATCATAATGTAACATATAGCCTACATTACATGCTCAACTGATTTTTATTATTATTATTATTATTTTTTTTAATTTTTATATTGCGTCCGGTGATTAAGGAAGATACTTTATGTAGTTTAGAATAATCAGAAGTCATGAATTGTTATAATTAATATTAGCTAATCACACACGGTCACATAGATGAGATCATTTGTGTCTTTTACAAAGATATAAAATTATTGTTTAGAATTAGAATTGTGTCCGTTTATTGTTTGAGTTGCCCCGCGGACTTGTGTAGACTAATAATATTAATTTAAGGCCACACTTTTTTTAAATCATTAAATCAACATTTTGTGAAATTTTACAAGTGTTTAATTTATTTTTTGTAGGAAATTATAAATGTTTAACTGAA